CAGCTAAGTGAGAAGCGCTCTAGGTTTCGTTGCGGCCATGCCTGAAATGCGATCCGATGGACAGAGCATGTTGCTTTACTTTCTGGAAGCTGGAGTGAGTGGTGCTCGCGAAAAGGGACTAGTGGCAGCGGGCACCAGTGCTGCCGGTGCAGTCATCCGCTTTTGAAATTTCCCGTATTCAAGTCGTTAGCGAGCATAAAAGTTGCTGTTACTTTATTCTTGCTCCTCATAAATAGGGAGTATTCTTATAAATTTTTACTTTTCTTACTTGCTTGAACGCCGAGAAAGTTGGATGGCAGCAGTGTTTCGGTTTGAATATTTAATATTTCTGTATGCGGGACACTCGCACCTGTTTGCACTTATTGGCCCGCGCATTAACAGTATACGTCCTCGAAAAAATACTGTTTCCTGCTCAGACTACATACAGAGTTGATTGGGTGCCAGCAGTGTCTCAAACTAAACATTAACTTGCGCACGCAAAATCTAAGCGTGCTCTTTAAAGCTGAACTTGAATTAGTTAGGTTACACACCGGCATAAAATATCCTTATAAAGTTCAAGCTAGCTTGACATATCGTTTTTTCCTGCAAATATCTTTGACATATTCGAACACTCGACGTAGGCTTAGTTAAGGTTCATTTCGTGAGTAAAAATTTTTATGGGATAAATGTTTACGTGTGTGGCGCGGTGCTCTGAGCGTACGCGCACTGTAGAGAAACAAAATCAAGTTTATGACTTACTGATAATGAATCGTGCAAACAGCAAATAAACAGCACGAAGTGTGGCACTTATAATCTATCGAGTATGTGAGCTTGCCGAGCAAGAGTCGTTATGGCAGAGCATGGTTGATGAGGACCAGGAGTAAATCAGATGAGATCGAGTCCTTGAAGAGTCCGTCGAGAAGACTCTGTGTCGTGGTCGCGGTGAAGAAGAAGACTGAGAGCCGTTGTCCCGGAGAAGGAGTGAACTGCGAGCCACGAAGAATGGTGGGGAGGTTTATAAAGAGGTATAGGAACCGCCCCAAATGAGGATGTGATAGTTTTTGAAGGGGTTGAAAATGTAAAAATGATAATTAAGGTGAATTGAAATTTGAAAAGAGAAGATGGAAATAAGGGTTTTTAAGGGGGTTAAAAAAAAAGGGAATGAAAGGCAAAATAAGGAAGTAAAATGGCTGGGAATGCAAGCGCATTCCAAAATAGGAGCAAAATGGGATAAAGAGGACGAATGTACAATTAGGTTTTTACGGGTGTAAAAAAGAGGAAAATGTAGAAAACTGTAAACACGAAAGAATGCAAATTGCATTATGATTCATAGGGCAAAAAGAGGAAATAAAACAGAAAAAGAAAATATTACATAATTTTATAATGAGAACGCAAACTTTACACGTGTAAAAAGAAGTATTCTCGTAAAACAAAGGGCATTTTACCAACGATTTTTCGATTTCAACTTTAACGTATCAGTACGGTAATGTTGGTTGGCACATGGGTTGGGAACGCGCTTCATTCCCAGCTTAATTGGCTGCTGAGTTGAAAGTGGGTGACAAAATGTGAGCACACACACACACACACACACACACACATACACAGCCCTTTGACAGTATGTGTCTTTGCATTTACATAAATATGCACCACGAAGAAGTGGTGCACATGCGTCAGACAGGTGTTAGATCACATTTTCACTCTAATTAGCTGTTGAAACACGCGGTGGCATACCAACTTTTTTTCTGTCTCCTATTCGTCGTCTGTGAAAAAGCATTTGATAGCATAGAGCTAAGTGCTATTCTACGGGCTCTTGCAGATGGAGGGAACGATAGGAACTATTTGGAAATTGTATGGTGGTAAAAGTAGGCTGCTTGACAGAAATGATATTTTTCCCCATCCTGTTCCATGTAGCAGTGGAAAGGGAGTGAGACAGCGTGATTCCATATCGCCCAAGCTTTTCGCGGCCTCGAGATGGTACTTCGAATGGTCTGATAATTAATGGCGAGTAGGTCAGTTTTTATTGCAAGCAGCTCTCGCGAGATAAATGAGGTACCACAGGAGTTCAGCGCACGAGGTAGAGAACTGGACCTAGAAATTAATGCACAGAGAACGAAGGTGATACCATGTGTCAGTTGGCTTGTGACAAAGCTGCGAATAGATGACATTTTCATGGAATTTGACAGCCATGTCAGCTTTGGCCTGAAATGGTGTACAGCATAATGGCCACCACACGAAAAAGTAACATCCATGAACAGTTGCTGGCGTTGTTGGCAACTACTGAACTTCACATATTAGTGGCGTTACGGGCGAAGAAGTTATCGATCGCTTTAGTGCTCGCGGAAGAGGTGAGGCATATCGAACAGGCGGTGGGTGCTAACTGTATACAACCGGCATCGAAGGGCATTGGGCGCGTTTGAACATCCCTGTAGCATGAGATGCCCCGCCGTTTGTCCTGGAATTCGCAGCATTCCAACCGGGTGTAAACTTGTAATTTGAGCTCATTTTATAATTCGAAAGAAAAAAAGTAAAGCTGGCAGGCGGGAATTTTGAAAGTTTGTTCATTACGAGGTCCACTCTTAATCATTTCAAATTTCCCTTCAATACTCGCTACATCCCAACCTGCGGCATCGAGCTGAAACTTCCCTTGTGAATCAGACTATTATTGTTGTACGAGTGAGGTACTATTAGCGTGGTAGAGTCCTTGCAGACCCTCTTTACTAGAGCTCAATAGCGACGACTCATTTTCGATTTGTTTCAACAGTTTGGGATGCTTAATTTGTTGAGTTTTGAACCTCCACTGAAATTCCTTTACCGCGATCGTGCTTTTCAAGCCAAAGGGCTGTTGGTGAAGTGTCGAAGAGTTCCGACCAAAACTGCATGCATGAAGTGACGTTTCGGAGCTGAATTCTAAGGATTTAAAAGCATGTTGTATGCAGTTACGCATTCTTAATCAATCACTCCGATGGCAAAGTGATGTTTCTTTTCAGCAGAAAACGAGTTGTCGACGGCAGTGGTGAGGACGCAGGCCCGAAACGGACAAAACTGCTGCAGAAAAATGAGCCGTCCTTCTATGTGCCTCCAGGAGGCAAATACAGCGGTATTTGTTTAGTTGATCTTACATGTCGCATTCTGGTTTCTTTTTTGGTCCTCTTTGGAATAAATTGTCTGATATGTCAGTAGTTGTATTTGCAAGAACAATATCACTTGAGTAAAGGACCCGTGTATTTTTAGTAAATTGTGCTGAGTACTGGGGTTGCTGGTGCTCTTGTGCGTTTTTTCGCAGCTCTGTGAAACAGTTTTATTGTTAATATTATAAATGATCGTTGCTTTAAGACTTTGTATATGAATTTAAATTAAAAATGCGATTGTTTCAGGATTTTTCCTGTAATTGGAAGGAGAAATGGGTTGGGCCGGTGGTGTTGCATCGTGGAACCTCGAAATTTTCACCTTTTAGCGCTTATGCCTGCCGTGAAGGGAGGTTTTTGACGCTCCTGCATCCTTAAGTTTGCCGCAATGTTACGCGAAATACAGGCATTTGTAAAAGTTGATATTATATTTTTAATGTCGCTCAAGATGGGCCAGCATTCTTTTGAAATTTTTGCTTTCTTGTTTGCTTGTCTGTCGGGATTGAAGAATGACGAAAGTGTTGCAGTTTGAATATTTGGCGCAGCTATGCGCTGTGCGGCTGCATAAGCAAAATCCTATGTTAGGCTTACAGAAGCACACGGGCAGTAAGCATCTCTTAAAAATGCGGCCTCCTACATAGTCTAGTCATAGAGTTGATAATGCCAAAATTATTGCAGCTGAAATTTTTGCTTTTGCCTGCATGAGACATATCGTTCAAAGCTGAATTTAAAATTCTTAGGTCGCACATGAACATGAGAATACCGTCGTGAAATTTCGGCCTTTTTGTCTTGACTGGCTTTCGAAGTACTCCTTGCTGCCTATAATATATTTCATTTATTTTTGCGCGTAATACGGGCGTACTCGAAAACCTATTTTGCACTTTTGCGTACCGAAAATCGCAACAAATATTCTTGCAAACTCTCTGCTTTCTTCTCCCGTCGGTTTTCCGAGGTGGTGCGATACTAGAAATGTCTGAATTTGAGCTTTGGCCTGTCCACACACGTAACATGACAGTTAAATTTAAAATCTCCAGATTACACATGAACAGAGAACATCCTTGTGATATTTCAGCTTTCTTTTTACAAATAAGGACATCTCTTCCAGGGTCAGCCTTTTGGCTTAAATCGGAAAAAAACCTGTTCAAATGTAGTGAAGGACTCCGTGATGTGTATAAAGTGTTGTTGTAGGAGTGTTTGGTCACAGTGGCATCCGGTGCGACACGGGTCATTTCAACAGGCGCTGAAGAGCAGTTTATCACGAGTGCACGTTTCTACTTTTGCGCGGATCTCCTGCAGTGTAAATTGCTGGGCAGAGTGTCTGGGAATGGCCTCAGAGCTTCTGAGTAGCTGTCGTTTTTATTCCAAGCTTTTATTTTTGGTCGCTGTTCTTACGTCAATTGACATGTCGGGATTTTCGTTGTTTCTGTTAACCTGTGCTGATAATTTTCTCACTGATGTCGTGTTTCATTCTTTTTCGATGAAAGTTTACAGAAGTTTAAGATTTTTGCTGAACCTGACCAAGCGTATGTACTGTTCGAGTGATTTTTTTATGCGTTTTTTACATCTATGCAATGCAGAAAACGCATATGACGGGAGGTTGTCTATGTCTGTGTGTCTGTTTGCGTCTATACCGATTTTTCATCTCAAGATCTATAAAAGCTGCAGGGCTGGAACTTTGGGGACTTAATCCACATGCACGTATGAGCCTTAGTTCCCAAAATGGACGTTCGTACCCACATGGTTCCCACGTATGGGCCCGCCAAAGTTTTTGGCAGGGAAGCTGCTAATTCGGGAACCAGAAAAGCTAGAAAGCTGAAATTTTAACGAGATGTTCCCCTCCATGTAGGTATTAATGAAGTCAAAATCAGCCCCCCGAGTATGCGTGGTACCCATGTGCGGGCCCATGAAAGTTTTTTACAGATAAGTTGTTAACTTGGGAACTTGAAAAGCTAAAAGACTGGAATTTTAAAGAGATGTTCTCCATCCACATAGATATTAATGAGTTCAGACCCATCTCTCGGGTTTGCATGGTTCCTATATACGGGCCCGTGAATTATTTTGCGGGTAAGTTGCTAACTTGGGAACCAGGAAAGCGAAACCTGAAATTTTAAAAGGTGTTTCCTGATAGTCCTGGTGGCAGTCTTAATTGGTTAGCTAGAAGCATTTGCAGGTAAAACCGGTGCCGTTAGCGACAAAAATCTGCGGGGAACTATGCAATAAACACATCCTTGCACCGGCAGTCGGTGCGCTGACCATTTATAATTGTATAGTCATTGGTCCAATTTTTTCTGCATTTTCTGCCAGCCCAATCTCCCGCCGATAGATCAGCGGTGACGCGGGAACATGTTATTGTTATTTGTGAGAGCTCGTTGCGAGTTTTCGGTCTAGTTGATTATAAAATCGCCTTGGAGTGACAGAACTAAATTTGCGAATCACTAAATTTGTAAATTATGTGTTGGATGTATTGAGAGATCGCATTTTCTTGCTGTTTCCTAAGTTCCATGCAGGTGCATTTCACTTCCCTTTCCACTCTTCCTTGTCCTTCGCTGCTTCCGTCCTTCCCTCTCCTCGCCATGTCCTGTTCCTTGACTCCGTCCTCCGCGAACGGTGAAGCCGGAGGGAGTATACACGGACTACTTTGGAGATGGTGGGGACTTACGTGGTAGGTGTTGACTACTGCTTTTGTCTGGAAGTTGACATGTCTTTCAGTTTGTCGTGGTTGACTGCTTCGAATAACGCACTGCTTGCATTGCATTTAAATTTTCCTTAAGCAATCACACCGAAAGTACCGTTTTTTTCTGTCGATCTGTTTTTTTATTCTTTCTCGCTCTGTTTTCTATCTTCGACCAGTATTTCTCCCTCTGTATCTTCTTGACAAAACGGAAGGAAGGGGAAAATGAAGGTTCTAGTGGGTCGACCACGAGATGATGCGTTAACGGTCCTCGAATTGGTCTGAGTAGTCAGTTTTGTGTCATGATAAATGAGAGCACTTTTAATGTCAGAGCGCTCGGCAGTGGCCAGTTTTTTGTTGCAGGGTCTCCGAAACGTCCTTCTTGACACTTTAATTATCAGAATTATCAGTGCAACAGACACATTGCAGAATTAACTGCAAAATGGAATGATGCCGCACAGTTCGTGCGGGGGGAGCGCTGTGGTTGAAAGTGTCGAAGTAGATAACGAGCGGAGGCATTTCGTGCAACGCTGCTGCGAGTTGTTCTGCGCGTCGATCCTGAGTCAGCTGCTTTTATGCACAGATCATCTCGTAGAAGCCGATATTGAAATGTATTTCTGGGGCGAGGAATGAGTTTGCAAAAAAGTTTTATCGCAATAGACGGAAACAATTCACTCCCCGGCTTTCTCTTGCAAGCCGACGAACATGAGTGCAGAAATGCCGCAGCGCATACTGTTGATTATTACCATTATATATTATCATTACTACGCTGTCCTTATGTCTTCGTCAGCGCGCTTAGCAAACGAGTCTTTCTGCGGACGAAAACATACAAGGGATCTGGTGTTGGTACTGAAATGTACCAAATGATTGATTTCGCGGACGGCACTGTGCTGAACTTAAAAATACCCACAGTACAAAATCTGTGGGATGTGAGGGATGAGAAGAAAATCCGAGGTAAAATGCAAATGAATGGGCGCTGTAGATTTAGGCCTGCCTGTCCGAGAGGCTAGGCTTGGAAGTAGATATGCCTTTAGCAAATTAAGAGACATCTTTTCGAACACTGACATGGGAATGGTTGTTCCATTTTCCATTTGTGCAGTATTGTCAGTTCTGTTCTGTGAAAGCGAAATGTGCTTGGTAAGCAGAAGTTGTCGATAAATCAGGAAATGTGGCGCAGTAAGTGTCCAGTAAATTGTTATAGTGAAGTGCTGTGCAATTCGGTGTAGTGGTGTGAATGATATTATCAGGCCAGTATGCGACAGGGAGAAGACTGGATTAGTCATGCGAGACAACAGATGGACAAAAGATGTTGAAGAAGCAGAAAAAGCTGCAGTGTGGTGGAAGCAGTCCAAGTGGACATTTGTTGTGGGGTAGTTTGGATGGGAAAAGATCAAAAAAGCAAGAATGAAAATGTGATCAGCTGTGGCGTAGAAATGTGTGTTGATGAAGTGGTATCTTTTTAAAATCTCGAAGTTGTTGGAGGCAACGGATGTGCATTTAAGGATTAATGTAAGGCTGAGTTTGGACAAATGCCGAATTTGATGAGCAAGTTGATGAAGTGGGAAATGCATGGAGCAAGGCGTAGTTGTCACACAAGAAGAAATAAGGTCTGTGCAGTAGGCCAGGAATATTCCGGACTGTTGCTGTACAGTATGCGACTTGCTTTCTTGAGGGATGTTATGCTTGCTGCGCATTCGTAGCCGCTCCTCATGGCGCATGAAGATTTGTCTTTGCGGGTCTTGTTACTGAAGTACTTTTGCGTCTTGTTGTTTGTTAAAATGTGTGGATTGCTCGCATACCTCATGTTTCTCGTTTAATCTATGTGTAAAATACGATAAATGCTTTTGGGCTGGGTGATTTCTGCTTCGAATTCCTGTGATGTATCAACCACTCGCCAAAATGCTATACCGGAATTTGTGTGTGTTCTGTAGAGGTTGAAATCATCCGTTATATTTCATATGCAGTGAGTTTTCCAGATGTCCGAAGATTTTGATGACTCACGTGAATGGCCAGAATCAGAGAGGCTGAGAGAAGCGATTTCGTGCGCCGAGTATGAGCGTTCCTATACGATGCCTGGTTTGAAGTTCGTTATCGTTTTATTTGAAAATCAAAATCTGGTTTTTCTGGAAGGGACTGTAGTCAAATTGGCATTTTTTTTTTTTTAAGTTGATTCTCCGACTGCCAGTGAGACAGCTGCAGTTGATGAGAACGCGTTCGCTGTCGCTGCTAGGTGTTTTCATCGATTTGATACTTGTCCTCGGTTTGCGCTGACAGTGAATTAAGCATGTGCAAAAAACCAATTTCAGAATTGATGAATTTGGGATACAGCATCGTAAAGTTGGAAGGATAGTGAAGGCTTGTGTGCGGCTCGGTCTAGTCCAGTGGCAGTTCAGTCAAAATGTTGTTTTTTGGTTTGAAGTGCATATTTCAATGCGCATTCCAAACTGTGCATTTGTTCAACTACATGTCAAGATGAAGAGCTGCCGTTTTTGCAGGAGGTGGCAGTGCGGAAAAGTGCAGAAAATGATAAAGTAGCGCAAAACTAATTTTGTGCGAAGGGCAGGAGAGGGTTCCACGAAAAAAGCACAGAATTCGCTTAATGAGACGAAAAATTTAGAAAAAACAAAGGTTGAAAATCGACCATAAGCTGCTAAAATGCATTAGAAATTAAAAAGCTTGATCAGTAAGTTACCGGTAGGGTGCATGTGTGTTGCTAAGTAAAATAAATGGGGTTTTAAAATGAGAGGAAGTCAGGGACCAGCCAGAGTAGGGGACAGCAAAGTTGAGGCGTCAGGAGACGAGTACGCCTCGACGATCTGTGTACATTTGCAGGACAAACGCTGCTTTACCCGATCTTTTGGGTGACGCGTTGCAGCAGCGGCTCGGGAAGACGGTTACTCGTCCAGCAGTGAGCAAAGACATGGGCGGTGTCCATCGGCTCATTGTAAGCTTTTTTTTTTTCATTCTGAAATTCATTCTTTTGTGTGTTGGCATTAGTGAATCAAACAGTCCTGTTTAGGCAGACGGTCATTTTCGAGCGGCGGTCAATTTAACTGCTCACTTATTGACGCAAGCGAATCAGGGATTTGGCATGGCTGGTCAGCCTTCCAGCAATACGCAGTACACTTTTGAGGTCCTTCAAGATTTTTTGCACTTGTGGCGCATCTTGGCTGCTTAGGATACCCACTGCATTGAGCGATCCAGGCAACTGACTTTGCCAAGCAGCTCCCTTCTCACTCTCTGTACTGGTGAACAGGAAAAATTTCCTTCTGGTGTTTTTTGGAACAACCGTGCAGTCACGGTTAGGCTTGTCGTCCTCGTTACTGACACTAAAAGGAGAAGTCTGCTAACGAATTTGAGGGGGGATTGCGCCGCCGAGATTCGGTATGACTGAAGCATTTATTTCCAGGTGTGGGCCTGTCGTTTCCAGTTGCTGATGGCCCTGAAACTGTATGTGTTGTTGAATGAAGAATTGGCCTCATTTGAGGAACTGGACGCTCCCGACTTGTATTACCAGTATTACCCAAATCTCTTCTCTCAAAAACAAAAAGGTCAGAGTTCAAATTTCATTCAAGTTTCCCTTAATGCTCCATACTGCACACGTATCGGGGTGGTGTGACTTATGAGTAATACTTTTCGGTGATTATTGTGTATACGCTAACTAACTCCACCGGGAAAAAGAGGACGAGAATGCTCGTTTTAGCAAACAGTAAAAAATATCTGTGCAATCTTTTGAGACGAAAAGGAATGAAGGTTTTAATTTTTCGGCTTTTCCGTCACTGATTGTGATTTTCTTCCGTTGGTGACGTCATACCACTCCATTCCTTTCACTGTGTTTTTTGGAAAACCTAATTTTGCACTGCGCAGCATCGCAAGTCTTGATTACTGGGCTGGGATTGCTGGAATTTCTGGAGTGCATGCAACAGCTTTTGTTAAAAACCTTTGGTTAAGAAGCGGCCAGGGACATCTGGACAGTAAAGCAAAAGTTTTCAGATCATTTGAAGAAAAAATTGATGTTTTGACAGTGAAATTATTTCCAGGAAGTTTGGTGTTGTTCAGTATGCGTTTGATCCATGCTGAAGCACTGTGCTTCACACCGTTTCCGTGGGCAGCTTTAGAACGAATCGACCGACTGGAACAGAATGTTAACAAAGTAAAACTGATCTTCTCTTTCCGTGGCTTCTTTTGCGTTAAAATAAGAGGCTTGACAAAGTTACGTCTATAATTCAGGTTCTGGCTAACTCAGCGGGAAGGAGCGAACGTTTCCAGAAAATTTGGAATGATCGTTTGTTGGCTGTACAAAAAATGCGTGCCCGGACTTTATTCTTTTTGAAGGTTTATACTTTTCCCTGAATGGATTGCTTGCTTTTTTCTGCTTGATTGCAGAGTCTGCGCTTTCAAGTTTTGTCGGAGTCGATCATTCTTAGTAAGAATTAATTCGATCTTCTTCTTGCAGTCGGTCGTGTCTTTTGCTTTGTCGTGGAGTTTTATCGGCGCTGCCGCAGTGTGGCAGTAGCTTGAAGCTGCTGCGAAGCACGGAATTGCACTTCAGCAGCTACTGGCAGAGTAGGATGCTGAATTAAATTTGATCTAACTGAATTTTGACAGTGAATTTACTGCTAACTTGGCCTCCGATTCGTTTTTCGCTGATTCTTCCAAGGCTAAAATGGCTGCGTATGATACATGGCTGTATTTCCGTAATGTCGTAAAATCTATTTTTTAGGAGTACACAACATCGATGGTTCTGTACAATCGCCTGTCACGAGCAGATATGAACCGAGAGCAGAAGGTAGCATTAAAACTGATGCTGATGAGGATGGCATTAGCTGTTGGTGATGAGAAAAAACTGGAGCGTTATTCGAATGAAGTTGCTACGATGAGCAGTGATAATGATGTGCTGCATCGGTATGTTTTCCTCTTACTTTCTTGTGAAATTCATGCAAGTTTCAAAAAATTCATTACTTTCCAGGAACTTTTCTTCATAGATTAATATTGCAGGTGCTTGAAGCGCATTTTTTACGGTGATTACAGTGAGGCCGTTGAAGTCTTATACACGCGTCCAGACTTTTCTGCAACGTCTGAGGTGAACAATTTTCGGAACTGAAAAGTTTCATCATAAAAGAACGGATTAGCTTCGCGGCTGTCGTTTTGTCTTGGGAGATGGAGGAACTAGTTTCGAGCTCAGTGTGTCTAATGTCCTGGGAAGTGAGGCTTTCATCGTTATGTTTCGAGCAAAAACTGCAGACTTCTTAGCTAATATTGCAGTGAGCTAAGTGTTGAGTGCTGTCCTTTTCCCGCACTGCTAGTATTCACTGCTTGTACCGATCTGCCACTCTTCTTTCCCTCTTCCACTCGTCCCCGCTCTTTCCGCATCCTTTCCTCTCGTTTTGAAATTTTCAAAAGCCAAAGTAAACTTTCTCAAGTGTTGAGCGTGGGAGTTCCGGATAATACGTCATTACTTAGTACTTCCCTGAGGATCCAAGGTCAGGCTTTGAGAGTAGTGAAACAGTTAGGTTAGTAGTACTTTTTAATTGCACATGACTTAACAAGGTCATGTTTTTTCAGGAAAAATCTTCATTGAGAATTGCAGGGTGTAGTATCACTACTGAGCAGTAGGGAAATTAATGAGCAGCCTCGGCGCTCGGAAGTGGTAGAATATAGCGATTAGCGAAGTGGTGTGCCGAGGCACATTTCGATAATTTAGTTTGAAACCCTGCGTGAAGAGAGTGTTATGAGTCTTAAGTGGCCATAAGTCTTCACTGTACACTTGTTTTTCATGATCAAAGCAAAAGTGTTATTCAAGAATAAACACTGTTTCGTATTTTCCTTTCCATATCTTCAGGAACTTTTTCGCTGATTTTTTATGCGTTTTTTGCATCAATGCAATGCAGAAAACACATATTGACGAGGGGTTGCCTGTGTGTTTGTGTGTCTGTGCCTGTGTGTGCGTTTTTCACGGGTTTTCTTCTCAAGGCATACAAAAGCTACAGGGCTGAAGCTTTGGGAACTTAATCTACATGCACGTACGAGCTCCAGTCTCCAAAATAGGTGCCCTTAATCGCGTGGTACCCACATACGGGCCCGTGAAAGTTTTTTTGCAGGTAACTCGTTAACTCGCGAACCAGAAAAACTAGAAAGCTGGAATTTTAAGGAGATGTTTCCCGCCCACGTAGGTATTAAAGAGTTCAAATCCAGCCTCCGGTATGCGTGGTACCCACGTGCGGGCCCGCCGAAATTTTCTTCGGATAAGTCGCTAACTCAAGAATGTGAAAAGCTAGAAGACTGTAATTTTAAGAGGATATTCCTCGTCCACCTAAGTCTCATTGAACTCCGGGTATGCGTGCTACCCACGTACGGGCTCGCCAAAATTTTTTCCGGATAAGTCGCTCACTCGGGAAACTGATAAGTTGAAAGGCTGTAATTTTAAGGGAATATTCCTCATTCACGTAGGTATTAATGAGCTCAAACCTAGCCCCCGGATATGAGTCATTCCCACGTATGGGCCTGTGAA